GCTGAGTACAGGGGGACAATCACCTCTCTACTTCTGCTGGTCACACTATTTCTAATACAAGCCAGGATGCCATTGGCTTTCTTGGCCACCTGGGCACACTGCTGGCTCACGTTCAGCCGCTTGTCAATTAGAACCCCCAGGTCCTTTTCTGCCAGACACTTTCCAGCCACACTTCCCCAAGCCTGCAGCGTAGCATGTGGTTGTTGTGGCCCAAGTGCAGGACCCACCACCTGGCCTTGTTGAAGCCCAGACCATTAACATTAGCCCAATGATCTAATCTGTCCAAGTCTCTCTGTAGAGCCTCCCTATCCTCATGCAGATCAACACTCCACTCCCACCTACCTTGGTGTCATCTGCAAACTTACTGCTAATACACTCCATGTCCTTGTTGAGATCATCAATAAAGATGTTAAACAGAAATGGTCCCAACACTGAGCCCTGAGGAACACCACTTGTGACTGGCCACCACTCGGATTTGACTCCACTGGCCACCACTCTTTGGGCTTGACTGTCCAGCCAGTGCTTGATCCAACAGATCGTGTGCTCATCCAGGCCATCAGCAGCCAGTTTTTTAATGAGACTTCTGTGGGGAACCGTGTCAAATGCTTTTCGGAGGTCCAGATAGACAATATCCACAGCCTTTCCCTCATCCAATAGTTGGGTCATCAGGTTATAAAAGGAGATCAGGTTCATCAGGCAGGACCTGCCTTTCATAAACTCATACTGACTGGGCCTGATCCCCTGGTTATCCTCTATATCTTCTAATACCACTCCAGAGTTCAACACTCTGAGAGTGTTAAACCTTGAACTTCTGCTTCAGTCTCTCCATCTGAAAATTGTAGATGCTAATAGTTTACTTCAGAGGGCAATTAATATGCTTTTCCTCTACTTCTGATCATACTTATGTGGAAAACTCTCTATATTTTCAAACAGGTCTTTAAATGCTTGAACCTGAACACACAAGATGTCCCTCTTAAATTGGATTCTTTCCTATGGATTGAGCTAGAGAGAAACAAATTCACACAAACTCCTTTTGACTCAGAAAAAATTATTCCGTGCTGCAAGCCGAATCCTCCACCTCAGACAACCTATTTCCTAACTGCAATCCTTATAAGTTTAAGATTTGTATGCAAAAATTCACCATATGCTTCATAAATTTGCTTTGTAAGAATTATTGTGCTATACACTTTTTTATTTTTTCCAAATAGTGGCAGTCAGATCTGAACCTCAAGCCAAGCAGCAGATGTTGGGCCTTCCAAGCAGAAGACGGCAGCCAGTGACCCAAAAGATCCCCCCTTACTAATGAGATGCAGCTCCCATACACTTAGAGTCTGTTAAGTGAGAATAAAGTGCAGTGTACATTGCATTCACGTAATTTTAGGACAAATCTGTGTGGGCCATCTCCTCATAGTGGAAAAGTCTGCTAGATTTTGGAAGGGGAAAAAAGCAAAAGGCATTTTTTTCATGGATGGCAAAACAGAGCAAGTACAGTGTTGGTAACTCACCCACTGGTTTTTACAGTGTCTCAGGGACAGAACTTGAATGAGACCCAGAGATTTGACTTCTAAATCTCTGGACTAATTTATTATGTAATAATGTAATCCTGTAATGTACTATTTATGGTTGGCTTAGGCAATCTTATCTCTAAAAGGCCTCATGAGAAAAGTTATGCTCTAATACCTGTGGATGTGATAACATCTATCTAGGCTAATCAACAGACATTTGTACAATTCGGAATTGCACAGTGAAGACTGAGACTGCATTAGCTACAGACCTCAGTAGGATTCTAAAAGCCCACCAGCCCCAAAGAGCCTGGTTCAGTAAATATGTCCCTAATCAGAACCGTAAAGACTATTAGGAATGTCTGTCAGGCCAAGTTGATGGTTTGCCTGCTTCACACTGGACTGGCATTTCACTATCTAGACCAAGTATTTGTTATCTTGCACCAGGATACCATGATCTGGTGCAAATTAAATACTTCTCAGGTAGTTGTACCCAGAAATGGACTATTAGATAGTCTACACTGGGATCAAGATCATACATGCCTATGGGTACGAACTGTATGAGATCTGGCTCCCTTCCTAGCTTTCTCTAGTCCTCTAAGAGCACTAGTCAAGAGACTTGAACAGTATTAACAAAACCCCTTTGTCTTGGGGAACACATGTTGTTCTCCAAAACAGCAAGAACTGTAAGCACAGTTAAACTCAGCCTATGTCAGAGCAACTTGTAGAACACATCCCAGAGTAAGGTGCATCTCACCAAGAATGCTTCAGTTCATGGATCTGCATATTTAAGTACCTTCGCCTTACCACACAGTGAACACACAACTAGGAAGTGCCAAAAGACTTAGACCAAATAAGGACTCACCCAGAGTGAAGACCACAGAGAGAATACGTTTCATGAGACAAATCTGACCAAAAGCAGAGCTGCGTTCTGCATGGACTGAAGGTATTGCATGGTACAGATTTGTCTGCATTAATCAACCCATGCAGTAATCCCTAGTAGAGGTGACATGAATAGTGGCTGTTAGGTCCGTATCAGAGGGGAAGGTCCTAGTTGCCTAATGGACCACATTTACTTTTCAGTATTTACTACTCACCCACAGATACCCAAAGTAACCACAAGCTGAGACCTTGCAGGCAGGTTGTCGAGCATGGCTTTTTATGAGAACAAATGGTAGTGCTGTCAATTGTAACATTATTTTTTGTGCTTTTATCAGTGTTCCAGCTCCCCACCTTTCATTTAAAAAGTTTATACCCTTTATGGTCATGGAGAAAAACCTGCAAACATGGTTCTAATGTAACCTAGTGGGTCAGAAAACAAGCCAAAGAACCTCACACTTTTTTTTTTTCCCTAAAAAATAATTATTTTTAAGATGATGTCACAGAGTTTATGCTAACTTGACTCAAGGTTTTTTAATTACTAATGTTAGAAGTACTTATGATATAAAATTAGCAAGCTCTCCAAATAAACAAAAATAAACAAAGTCCTCTTCACAGCTATTCTGGAAAAGATTAGCTCTTTTCCTGCTAACTCTCATTGCTATAAACATAGAAAACAATGACAGCTCTCAATTAACCCTCTCTTCAAAAGGCCAGTGGATCCCATCTACAATAAACTCTCAAGCTAAATGATATAATCTTCCCACACTGTGATGTCCATACTCCACCTCCACAACAGAATTTCCAGAATTTCGGTTACTGATGTCTTCATTGTAAATAAGAAAATGGATGTTAGACTATCTAAAGGTGCTTGAGGACTTTCTCAGAAGCATTAAAAATAATTTAAGCAAATAAGACTAACACAGAACATTACTATCTCATTGCCCTATGTCCTGTTGGTTCTAAATTGTCCCCAGCACTCTTGACCAAAACATCACGTACAAAGACAAAAATGCAATTTTAATGAAAAAGCTCCTCTCCCTCCAAAATCAACACGAATGTCCATACAGCATTTCCATAAAGGTCAAATACTTATAATAACAACAATGTACTGTGACTTCACAATTATTTAAAGGATCTTTTGCTCAAAATAATGAAAATCTTGGAGATCTCACCTTCCCTGTTGACAAAGGTTGCACAATCATATTGACACACCATGAAACTTTCATTCCCCTTCAGCTCTGGTTTGGTCAGCCTTTGATTAACACCAACTTTATCACGAATCTACGTTAATTAGAAAAAAGGCCTCCCACACACCAAAAATAAACTGCATCACACTCCATCTTCAAAGTTTTCATACAAATTACTCCTGCCCTACGCCATACTTAAAAGAAAAAAAACCTAAAAGAAACGAAACTACGGTACTTACTAGGAACTCCAGACACCAGCCGTAATGGACGCAATACTCGGAAAGCCCGCAGTGCTTTAACATCGAAGCCAGCACCTTTTCCTCCTATTGAATTCCCCCCATCTGCTTTGGTTGCTTGTTCTAAAATTGCACTAAAAAGCCTGCAAAAAGAAAGAGGAAACAGTCTGTAGGCAGAGAGCAAGGCTTGGGTTAAACAGGATCAGAGATCATCACATCACCCAAACTATCTCACAGACCTGTGAAGAATGTCACACATCTCAGCTGACACTCACATATGGTGGAGGAGAGACAGACTCTTCTCATAATGCAACAGCCTAATGGCAACGTCTACACCATTTGGAAAACACTTTTTTTCTGGAGCAGACAGAAACATGACACACTTCTCCTTCAGCCTTGTGGCTTCTTGCAGCCAGTTACAGGCTACCGCAGCGACTCGTCTGCCTGATGGCACATGGAGGTTTGCTCCCTGGCCTGTGCACTGAGGCATGCTGGCTGCTGCAAAATAGCCATTCTAGCAATGCCTTACACCAAATGTAAAGGGCCACCAACAGCAGAGCGCGTGGGTCAGATTTTGAGAGCAGCCCACAGGTTGTCCTTACCAAACAGCCTGGGCACAGTCAGTGGGAGTTGAGAGGAAAGATATGAAAGTGCCAGTTTAAGGTTTTGGCCTTCCTACTGCCAATACTTTGCTATCTTTATTAACGCACAACACGTTGGGGAAAAAAAATCGTCATCCGTAACTAATCCAATCATTAATTATCGGTCACTCATTTTAAGAGGAATTAAGATTCACCAAGGTAGAATGTTGTGTAAAATTAAGGGATCCTTCAAGGTGCAAATAATTAGGTAGGGGAGGATGCTCAGAGCATGTGTTTGTGTATCCATTTGTAAATCTCCTGATGCATTGGCTAGGGAAAGCACAGAACTGTAGGAGTCTTATTATTATGTTTTATTATACCAATTTTAATGTTTCATGCTGGCTAGTAGGAGTAGTTGCTTTAAAGAGAAGATGTCTCACTCAGAACACATTTGAAAAGGCAAAGTACAAAAGACAATGTTATTCTGTGAAAGAGCTGAAGGCTCACTCTATGTGTTAATAAGAACTCGATTTAATAAATTAGCTTTCAGGAAGCAGCTTCTATTTTTCTGGTAAAACATTAGTACCTTTGGGGGAGGATGGATTCCTCATGAATTTGCCAATGACAATGCTTTCAGCCTTGGAATCATCAGCTCGAACCCAGCCAAATTCAGTCGAGGTTAAAAGCTGTTCCAGTCTAAATGGAAGTTTGGCGCTTTGTAGAAAAAGCTTGCCTGTGGGTGGCAGAGACCTGTGGCCCATAGCACACCACGGAGGTACCTGCAACTTCAAATAAGCTGCCTGGGATGTCAGAAACAGTCCAGTTACAGAGGCCTGCATCAGCACTGACTGATTTATCTCTCAGACTTTTCAGTCTGCAGTGCCCCTGTCAGGATCTGTACGCCCTAGCTGGTGTGTTTCACAGAGAGCCCCTGAACTGCATCTGTTCTGGTTTGGTTTGGTGGGTTTTTTGGTAGCAGGGGAAGGGCCACAGGAGTGGCTCCGGTAAGAAGCTGAGAAGCTCCCCCTGCTCCAAACCCAGCCAAGGAGCCATTAGAGACACAATAGACGCGCCTCAGCGATTAACATATGAAAGAACTGAGAGAAGGCCTGAGCAGAGAGCACTTAAAGAAAAAGAAAAGCCGGTGCTGGGGAAGGAGAGTGGTGCTGGTAGTTGGCGAGGAAGAAGGCGAAGAAGGTGCCCAAGCAGAAGTTTCCCTGCAACGAACGCATGGCGAGATGGCAGCTGTGCCCCTGCACTCATGGAGGTGGAACATTCCCTGAAGGCACCAGGAGGGGTGAACTTGGTCAGTGGACGTGGATCTTGCAGACAGTGGACTTGGATTTGCTGCCAGTGAACTCTGATTATGCAGCTGTGGAAGACCCCGGTGCTAGGAGAGGTGACTGTTCCCAAAGCAGCCCATAACTCTGTGGGAAGCCCAGGCTGGAGCAGCTCCGGACCTCGTGGGAAGGACTCAGGAAGGAGAGGTTCATGGAGGACTCTCCCCCATGGGAGGGACCCCGTGAGGAAGCAGGGAAGGACTGTAAGGAATCCTTCTTCCTGAGGAGGAAGGAGCAGCAGGAACCACCAGCCTGTGAACTGACTCCAAACCCCATCCCCTGTCCTCCCTGTGCCGCTGGGGGGAAGGAGGGAGAGAAACTGGGAGCAAAGTGATTTGGGCCTGGGAAGAAGGGAGGCGTGGGATAACATATGCAAGCCCTGCTCTTTGTGTCTGTGACCTTTGGGTATTTGATAAGTGTGAAATTATTTTTTTTTTTTCCGCAAGTTGAGTCTGTTTTGCCTGGGACCTCAATCGGTGAAGAGCCCTCCTTGTCCTTTGTCTCAACCCATGAGTTTTGTCCTCCTCATCCCAGAGTGTGTGTGGGGAGCTGAGTGAGTGGCCATGTAGCTCTTTCTTTGTTGTCATGTTAGGCTCAAACCATGACGTCATCTCAAGCAGAGACTGAGCTGCCTGATTGCTTTAACAAGGAGCTCAAATCCCTGCAATCCATGGTTAAAATTTACTGATAGGGCCACAAGCATAGGGACCTTGCCCTGAATAGAAAAAGGAGGATTCATTTACTGAAGTACCTAAGCCACACACACTTCCCCAGCACAAAATCCATGCAAAAATGTGGATTATGGGAATGAAAAAAATGAAATTAGTTTCTTAAGCAGTTTGAAAAAAAAAAAATTCATATAAAGAGTCTTACAAAACTTGTCAGCTGTGACTGAGGAACTCCTAACTGGATCTATTCAAAGCCTCAAATTCAAGCACTGCAGAAAGATTTAACAACTAGGTAACAAGCGTGGGAAAAACTGTGCGGGGACGTTGGATGCTGAGTTTGTAGGTGTTGCAGACTGAGAAGCAGGATGCAGAGAAGACAAAAACAGAGCCTATGAGAAATACTGCGTTGACTACAGATATCACAGAGAGAGATAAACAAGGGCTGATGCAAAGTACATGAATTATTGGAATGTATGTATTTCTTGAGCTGTGTACACAAATTATACATTTGCAATTTTCTGCTGGTCTTCATAATAGAAACACCATAGGTCAAATTTGGTCTAATGTGTTTCCAAGTAAGCTAGTGATTAAGCTCTAGAAGGTGCTCTATTTCTTATTCAAACACTTCTGTCTTCCTCGTCAACAGAATTCCCATACTAGGCGATTAGCAGCATACCTGTACAACAATCCCAGTCTCCTGGGCTTTTTTCAGCTCTTGCAATTCTGAAAAATAGAAGTCTCAAGGAACTCTTTGAGTCAGCAATTGTGGAGAACTAAGGGTCCATTCTCCTGCTCCACGTTATCACTGGCCCCATGTTTTACCAAACAGCAGCTCTTGGCAGCTGGCACCAAGGGCGCTTCTCTTGCCACCATTGCAATGAGCAAACCATGGGCTGTTCTAGAATATTGCATCCTAAGAACAGCTACACATATCCTACATTAATTCAGAAGGAGCAGAAACACAACGAGTGGGACCACTCACTTTACTGGAGCTAGAATGTGCTTTTGCAGACTGATGCAGCTCCACTGCAGGCATGCTGGCCCTGTTTGTGTGCTCCAGTGTTAACAAGATAAACATGCTGTCTTGAGGTACCCACAGTCATCCTCCCACTGTACCTTAGGAATAATTTGCAGTAATTCCTGATGCTCCTCATTTAACACCCAACATTTAAACTTGAATTGCATTGCTTCTGCTAATCCCTGCTTTAACACATTTAGTCCATGCAATATCTACCCCTGTACTAATCCTGCTTTTTACTAATGCAATCCAACTTTATATTTCTCTCAATTATTTCACTCTCTCTTTGTATGCGGTCCTAGACTCTTCCCAGTCCAGCCTACTGAATCTCTACTATACTCTTCAGATTTACAGTAGACTTGTCAATCCTACCTCATTGTCCCTGTTGCCTCCTGTGTTAGGGCATGGACAGACATCTAGGACTCAGAAGCAACAACTACCACATGATTTTTGGCTGTAACTTATTATGATAAAAGAAATAAATAAATCCTGTTCAAACAGCATCAATGCTAAGACACAGAAGAAAAAAAAGGCTTCTGATAGCCCCTTTCCATTATCCTTTAAAAGAGAACAAACCCACAACTCATACAAAATTTGTAGTTTCTATGAGCTCTATAGACTCTTTATAATTTTTTGTCTAATTATTTTACCAATCCTAAAAGAGATGGATAGATGTTAAATAATATTAAACAGGAAGCCATAGTCCTTCTACATGATATTTACATGGGAAAAATCTGCTCTTTGATGAAAACCTCTGGGAAAAGCTTACAGTAGGTATGGTGGAGTAAGGTGTGGTTCTCTCCTCAGTAGGTGAGTTGACTGAAATGCATACTCCAAGCATGGTGTGAGAGAGCACTGTGCTGACAGAGAAACTTTCTGGACACTTTAAATCTCACAATCTTTTAAAAAAAAGAATACAGAAATCAATCCTATTTGCTTCCAGCTAACTACTTTCTGCCAGCCTAAATTCCTGCTCCTTTTTTATTTCAGTATTATACTTTCCACTGATGTAGCACAATTAACATCATCTTGATTTTTGAATTTCACTTTTGACGCAACTACAGCTAAACTAAATTAATTAGACACAGAGGAACTATAAAGCAGAAAAAAAATATCTAGCACACACATACCTGTATGAACCCAGTCCACTTTAAAAAATATATTTACTTGTGAGGTATGAAGCTAGCCTGACAGTTTTTCTTTCTTCTATTTTTCTGTTTCTCTTTTGACATCTGAAATATCAAAAAGTTTTTCACTTTGCTAGATAACCCCAACAGCATCCTAAGGCTGTAACCTGCTCTACAGCTCTTCATCTCTCCCTCTATGGGGAGGGCACACTGATTTTTATAGCATTAAAAAAGAACTTGTCAAGGGCCTCCTGAATATAAAGAGAAAACAGAGGGCTTTGTATCTCTAAGGCAAAAAATCAACTTAAAAACACAGCTGAAAGATACTCATAAAGAAATAGTAAAGTACAATGATCTTTTTCATCTCATTTTACAGTTAATCTGTGATTTGTGAGTGTGAAAGTGTTTGGGTCTGCCCTTTAGAAACTCCCCTCAGGTCTTCAGAAAGATGCATACTTTGACCACATTTCCTAGTCTTCTCTGCATTTCAGTTCCTTTCCAAATACCTTCACTGCAAGTAAGACTGCCTTTCAAATTACACCACCTTTTTTTTTCCTGGCACAAGTTATGGGTCCTTGGAGAATGACTGTGCTTGGCAGACACAGCATTGCCAGGAAAGGCAGATATTCTTCTAGCACAACATTGTCAAGTTAGTCTTCTCTCAAGAAAAATTTCCTTCAATAGCCTAATATTAAAGGATATCACTCGTATCTGAAAGCTTTAACTTTTTCTAAAAGAGAAACGGTAAAACTGAAAGAAGCAGGAAACAATCTGCCTAATTGCTAGTGTTTGTGGGTTGTGCCTCACTAGGCAGCTTGGGAGTGTGATCTTTACTCTTAACTAATACAGTTCTTATCCAAAGAGCCTGATTGATACCCACATACAGACATTTTTCTTCAAAGCAGCATTTAATGGTGGCTGCTATAGCAGGGTCATAGGCTATTTAAAGATAAGCTAGAATCAAGCTTTAAAAGACTTAGCTGATGAATAAGCAGATCTCCCACAGTGCAAAAGTGATAAGTTGTTACAAGCTTACAGATCTGAAGAACATCCTTTCTCCAGAAAATCTAGCAATTCTGTTCAGTGTTTCCCTCTGCTGCTGCTGCTGCATATTCTTGTGGCCTTGTTAGAACCACTGACTCTAAGATCCTTCTGGATATCAGGGAATCAGCCTATCTTCAGAAGGCAGAGGAAAGCATACAAGCACTTAAAAAAATAAAAATAAATAAATAAATAAATCTGAGATTTCCCTCTTATTCATGCTTGTTCCTACATGTTTATTTACCTCTTTTTCTGTCAGTTTCTATATTTCAACATAAAGAAAGCCAGTTGTGCTGCATTATCTCTTCAAGACATATTGGTAAGCAGTGAATACTAGGTAGATTTAGAAACAAACAAAGGATATAAAACTTGTCTTTTTTTCCCCTCTCCTTTATCTTGCAACAATACTTGAAGAAACACTTCCTACCTGGTCTATTTTTTTGTAGGTAGGACAGTCATCATTGAAAATGAAGATGATTCCTAAGGCAGAACAAGCATGAATGGCAACTAACACAGTTGTTTTGGGACTTGGTGCTTCCAATATGAGTCTCACACCATCCTTTGCCCCATATACCAAACAAAACCCTCTTCCCAATTCTTCACCTGTATCCAACTTGCTCAACTTTCTCCAGCAGCTCCATCAATAGGCAGAAAAAGGCACTACAAGGAAATGTGACCAGCACTTGCTTTCTTCCTCCTCTCTCTTTCTCTTTAAAATTAATTTTAAACCTTTTCCATGGGACTTCCTCCCTTACAAAAATATTCAAATACTCTCAAATTTAAGCATAACATCATTGAGGGTTTTCAGACAACCCCTAGGAAAAGAAGACAGGGCAGAATGGGAACAGATGGTATCACAAAGTAGATTTTGTAGAGGGGCTGTGGAGAGAAAACGCAGTGCACCAGCTTAGGCTGTGGTACTGCACAAGTGAGTTTAAACAGATAAACATCAAAGGAACCCATCTGGCCTTGAAGTGGAATCTGTTGCTTGAGATCGTTACTATTTAACAGAAACCTTGGGGTCTTGGCTATGTTTATTATACTCCTGTAATCCCTCCCCAGTTACATTTTTTGTTCCCCATCTAATGACTGAGAGCTGCTGGAGGCAAGAACAGATAGAAGAGCCAAAAGTTGCAGCTTCTGCCTATGGCAAGGGAATTAATTTCAATCTGAATATCATCTTGCCCTAGTAGGAAAATGTAAAAGCACTGTACTTATACTAGATATAACACTGTTCTTTGATTTTTGGAGTGCTGCTTTTTCTCATTCCAATGGAAGAAGAAGAGGTAATGTGTCCTCTCTTTAAAAAGTCTTTTTTTTTTTTTTTTCATAAAAATGAAGAGGGAATAATCACACTCACAGGACTTTTGTTCTCCAATCTTTCTTAGACTTAAGCAGCAACTTCAAAGCAGGTCAAATATCTGAGGGCATTCAAAGGCAGAACTAGTTATGGAATTGGACACCAACGCCAAGAAGGGGTCGGGGGTTTGCCAATTTCTAATTGGTAATTTGTTGTGGGCATCCCTGCCCTCTGGCTGTGGGCAGGAATGACACAGAAAGACAACTGGGCACTGCTGTAAGGAGATGCGTGATGCCCACATGGAGGCAGAGAGGTTCTGGGACTCAGAATAGGTTCCAGCCTGTCATCCACCCCCTCTACTGGGAATTCTCCTTCCACCCACTTTTCTCCATGATTATGGAAAGTGGGAGGGATTAGGTAGCACAGCAGAACGCTGATGTAATTTTTTAGGGCCACCACAAAAACAGGCAAGAAGCTAGATGGATTTTGTTTTGGGGTGGAAATAATGAGGGAGTTGATAAGTGAGTGTGTCCCTTTTGATGATTTCCTGAGGAGCTGATGCAGGGTTTCCCTGCTAAAGAGTTGAAAAGACTGCAAGTTTTTGTGAGCAATGAAACTCTTTAACAATGGAGTGGTGGAAGGACAAGACAAATTACTCAGGTGAAGAAACACTTCTCTTTGTCTTCAGGGACACTTTATCCTTCACTTCTTCCCTTCAACAGCCACAATGCAAACCCCTGCATATCTCTTACCCTCAGGTAGAAAAAGCAGAAGGTATTTGTTTTACTTTTATTTTAATAAATTAAATGCCAAGCTTGAAAAATACAGAGAGGAATAACAAGATTAGAAAGGTTGCAACTCAAAGTGGTGATTTGATCTTCAATAGTAAAATTAGTCTTTAAACAGGTTAAAACATTAAAAGGGTCAAAATAAAAAATGTTGAAGCCACTAGAGAAGGGTGCAATTCAACTGAAGAACTTACTTTTCTTTGTTATGAAAACCTGGGATTTAAAATCTTCATCCATCTTTGAGAATGAGAAAAATCAGTAATAGTCCACAAGATAGCAGAATTTGTCATCCAACTCTACCTTTAAATAAAGGATCTCACCTAGATATTATTATTTCAATATTTATACAGATTTTCAAAGGTACTTTCTTCCAGCTAAGCATATACAGGCATGTGACTTTGTCCAATACTTTTGCACTGCTTCCTTTTTTATCATTGTTCTCAAAGTGCAGCTTAATTTCCATGTCTTACAAACCATTAAAAGTCTCAAAAAATACTAAGTAGCACGGGATATCAGACAGAAAATGTGGATCAACTGACTGACACTTCTCAGTATTTACCTTAAGGTAAATCACTGCTACACACTGAATAAATCAAGCATGAATCAGGTTATACCCACAGAAAACCAGTGAGTCAGCTCTATTTTTAGATTACACAGTAATACTTGGTAAATGAACACATGGAGTCTATAAGGGGGCTAACACAAGAGGGACAAATGGTAGTGGTAGGAGCAACATAATGGACAGCAACCTCTAACATCAACCGTAAGTAAGGTACCAAGCATTCACCCACCCTCATGCTCCCAGAGTTTCCCAGAGTCCCTGTGTGTGCCGTTTGTTCAGAGACAAAATGTTGGTACTCACCCTACTACCACAATTATAAAATCTAGTAAATTCCAGCCATTGCGGAGGTAAGCGTTGGGGTGAAAGAGAAGTCCGTATGCTATTACTTTTAAAAATGCTTCCACTGTAAAAATTATGAGAAAGAGATATTCCACTCGTTCCTGGGGAAGAGAACAAGAGAGACAATGGTTAGCATGAGTGACAAACCACAGATAAGGACATTTTCTTCTGTCACAGTCTACCCATGCAGCCTCCAACTCACTGGCTTGCCACTTAGGTACATCTAACATGTATGGCTTTTCTCCCCTTGCCTGCATCATCTGAAGCCAAGTCTGACAAGACAGGGGCAGTACATTTTGATTAGGTTATGAAATTTGCTGCCTTTGCCTTGGCAGGGACTGACCACTGCACAGGCCTGTGTGAAGGAGTGAGGGAGAAGGTCAACAGGCACGTTCTAGCACTTAGAACTCTACAAAACATCTTGCCAAGTATTGTCGGACATCAGAATGAACCATGTCTGATCCTTTTCTGTTGCTGAGGAAAAGGTAGGCTGAATATTGGTGACAAATAATTTACAGATCACACTGACTAATGCTAGAGGCTTTTAGTCATTCCATCAGAAATGTACATGTCCCCATGAAATGCAGGCAGCAATTTAGCATATCCAAACAAAGCCACTTCCAGTGACAGTACAGTTTGATTCAGGACAAGCAGGCAGGCTTTTCGAGTCAGTAGACAGGCTCACTGTCTCTCATGTCTGGGGTTTTAGCCCTAGTGTGAAATAACAATAGTAGTGTTGCAGAAAAAATTCCCTGAGAAGGAGGGAAAATGCAGTATTAGGTAATCACTGCAGAAGTGCTGTGTGGCAAACCGAGCTGGAAAATAAGTACGTGAAAACTAGATGACAGCAAAGAGAGACTAGTTGCCCACAAGGTTAAACTACAAGTGTATTACTAGGTAACAGTAATACAGGAGGTTAAACTACAAGTGTATTACTAGGTAACATTAAAGAAATAAAAATTTGAGATAGATACAAATTAAAACATCCTGGACATTCCTAGTAAAACCTTATAGGGTACTGAGCAAGGCAATCAGACAGTTCAGTACTTTATTTTCCTTTTCAGCTCCAAACTGTAATTGTTCTGTTCCTCTGTCCAGCTGATTGCATGTATGGCACTTTCATGTGATAAAAAGTGTGCAGGATTACAAAAAAAATAATTTCATCATTTAACTGAGCTGCCCATTTGAAACTCTTCCACTCAGCTTGAGGTAATTAACAACTCGCTAGGAACTCGTTGATCAAAAAAGGCAATTTCTAGTTTGTCTGCATGTTTACATTAAGATTTTATTTTACATGACAGAGAAATTCCATCTGACAGTAAAAAGCACATGTTTATGCTTTAGAATATTACAGTTTTCACTCAGACAATGCTTTGACAATGCCTGCAGTATTACTGCCCAGTGCTTAGTACAGGCAATGCCTAAAAAAAGAAGTATTATTCTGTAGTTATCTCATCCACTTATAAAACTTCTGAACATGTCCACTGCACAGAATTTGCCAAATACAGGTCAGCATGCTAAGGATTTCCCTCCCCTTCAATTCAGAGAAGAAAACAACATCATACAATATTAGTGATTGTTATGTCTCCAGCTCTACGAGTAGTAAGTGCATTATTTTATTCAGCATGGGTATTGGCACACAAGTGTTAGCCACCAGGAGTCCAGCCTTGGGCTTGGCCACAGAAAAGAGCTGTCATGAGACTTCTTAAAAGAAAACAAACACCACACAACAAAGTAATTGTGCTATGGGAAGTCTTTACATACTGGCTTTCTGATTGCCCTGCACCTTTGTGCTGCCACGTCTCGTATCAGCAGGGTGTGAGGCCAAACACCAGCCTGCACCAGAGGCAGACAGCCCCCCCGTAGCTCTGCCTGGGAGGTGATGCCCTGCCTCTGAAAAGACAAGGTAAAGACTGTGTGGAGGCTGGAGGAAGATGGAAATGGCCTCTGTCAGGGAAGAACATGCACTGAACTGAGGATGGGAGTAGGAAGTGTCATGCCTGGATGGATGTGGTCTCACTAGCGAAGAACAAACACCTTGTAGGACGGAACAAAGATTTATCTTGCTGCAACCCAATCCATTGATGGCTCTCACTCCCTTTTTGCACCCAATTTATTCCGCATCCCACTCTGCAAAGAGAGACATGAGCCTATGGAGAAAGGCTGTAGGCCCTAAAAACCAGACTCAAAAACCTCTCCTGGCAGTCACAGCCAAAACTTATACTGAGAGAACGTTCAGGAATCCTAAGTCTTGTTTAATAACTCCAGGTCCAATTTGTAGCAGACTGGCAGAGCAATTGAATAGCAAGACTTAAAGCTGCCCCTATCCCCAGTAATTTAATAGCGAATACTGTCCTTCATCTCTGGGTGCCCTGGGACAAATGCTGGTGCCAATTCTGTGTCTGGCTTTGTGCTTCTGTGGCCACAGTGCTGTGCAGGCCTGACCAGCCAGAAGAGCCTTTCCACTCCATGCATTTAATTGAAATACCTCTACTAATGCAGCCAAGAGTCCAAGAAAGAAGCAAATACTTGAGAAAATTCTGGAACAACATATATGTGTGTGTGTGTGTATTTAATACTGCACAGAGTACCTGCTATTTCAACAGCTAACAGGTTCCATTTGGTTTGGTTTAGGAGCCTCATACCTTTTTGCCTACAGACTCCCTGCTTTGTTATTGTAACAATGCTGTCTGTTGAACCATGTTATTGAGGTAATAATATGCCAAAATATTACACACACCTGCATATACATAAACATATGCATATATATATACACAGCTACAAGGTGTATGAAGAAATTCTTTACAATGCACTGCTTAAGATGGAAAGATCCATAAAAAAATAAAATTCTATAAAAGCCTCTGAAATGGATATAAGATACAGAAGGTTGAGCAGAGCAGAGAGAATTTATGATCCTCTGCACTTAAAATAATGATTTCCAGATCTAAAGCTGAATAAAAAATACTGTCGAGATTAAACAGTGCAGATACTCCAAGACCATTTCAGGAAGTTACTCCTACTTAAGAGTCAAGAAGAATTTGAAAAGCCTACTAATGAATTTGTGTTCCCTCTTTTCCTCACACTATAAAACTCAAGAGCTTTTATGAAGACAGCATAGCTCCTTAATGATATAGCATAACTGGGCTCCCAGGAATCTCGGTTGCTGTCCCAGTTCTGATGCCACCTTGCCTGGTGAACTCACAGACATGACTCAACCACCCCCTGCCTCAGGTTAGAAGCAAGAGGAGGACCTGCTGCTCTCAGCTCTCACCTTTGCTAAATGGTCTTCTACACTTCTAGATGCTCATTTAGAGCTTTGCTTTTCACAGGTTAGGCAGTCCAGGACCCAGTGTTGCAAGATCTCAAGGGACATAGCACTGCAAAGTATCCATAACCCCCATTTCTCTGAGAAGCCAATTTTATGCCATTTTAAAAGAAGCCAAGAAACCAAGCTAGACAGATAATGATATTTATCTTCAAGAGAGCTCCCTGCTGATAGAGGAAGGTAGCTGCCCACTGCCTTCACGGGAAAGAAAGTAGACAGCAACAGCATTGCCCCTTGCAACACCAATCCAACCCACAGCATCAAAAACGAGGGAACTTATTTTGAAGCTGGAAGAAAGAGGGAACAGTATTTTTTCATTTGTGCCTTAGAAATGGGAACCATGCTGATGTGGCTGAGACATGTGAAGCATATCACAGGTTGCAGAATTAGAAAGCAGAAGCTTCCTGCTTGGGTAATAGTGATGAAAAGGTTTTTGAAAACCAGAGGAAAAAATCAATAATATATTAGTAGAAAAAGAGGAAGGACAAAAGTTTTAGAAAACTGGCCAGTGTCTTTAGCATACACAGATGTTCTGGGCCTGGCTCTACCACTCTTTTTTCTAGGTTTGTTTTGTTTTTTCCTAGACACAAGACCTGAGCATCAGCTACCCTGTGGTGAATTAGCCAGCACCAACGTTGCGAAGAAACAAATTGTATATCATCTATTCTTAAGAAACAAACAAACTTGCTGTTAATGATCTAAGATGTATTTCCAAAAGAGGATTCCTTTATTAAGTATGACACCTCCTCTAATCCCATGTGCCTTCTGAAGACACCATGGGTTTGGTTTTGTTTATAATTTTAAAACTGTATAAAAAGACATCCTGGATTCATAAAACAAATCTGAAAACAGGAAATCCAAGCAAATTACTGTAGTCATAAGGCTTTTCCCCTGTCAGGAGTGGACTGAGTAGATCAGTGCTGTTTCTGACAAATGGTCCTCAGTGATTCACTGCATTTTGATCCTAGCTCTCCAAACCCCATCTACCCAGCAGCACTACTAGGTTATAACATTTCATTCACGAGAGTAACTCAAGACTCAAATCACAACTGGGTCCTCACATCTCATACACCCCAGCTTCAAGAGTTTGCAATCTAAAATTCAGTCACTACAGGTTTTCTCAAACTTTGCTGTCTCCTTCTGCTTGTACACTGTTCAGCCTGTTGCAAACCATGTTTCAGAAACTAAATTTCCTACATTTGAAGTAGTGTACAGTAAGCCCCACACAGCTAGAACATTAATGAAACTGCCTGTTGGACTAAGTTATGTGAGTGTCTGCATTATTATGTTTAAGGAAGCACTAGGGAATAAGAGGATTCATTTCTTCAGTAACCCAAATACTCTGTAGTCCAAGGAAAACAGCAACATTTTAAGGGCCTCTGTCTTACAGGCTGTTTTGCCATCAATTGCATAAATAGGCTATGAAAGATTCAAGTCAAGAGTGGCAGCTTTCAGACCTTTTCCTAGCAGGGAAAACAATATTTTCTTATAGGCAGGAAGGAGACTAAACTGCAATGCTGGGAAAGATGGTCCAAAGACTTTATGAAAACCGGTTCCATGTTTTTGATTAGAAGTTATCATCCCATCTGAGATACTGATATCCTCACTGTGTGAATATGCTGACTTGTCAGTGTTAATAACTTTGACCTTTGGTAAGAGCCACATGTGTGCATTTAAGGGATCAATTCAATAAGCAGATGTTAAGAAAAGTTTGTTGACATTGAGTTACTTATGAATGTACTCAGTTATTCAAGGGATATTTTCAGCTTCATATGC